ATGTCTGTCTGTGTGTGTGTGTGTGTGTGTGTGTGTGTGTGTGTGTGTGTGTGTGTGTGTGTGTGTGTCGCATGTACAGCACTCTTTTGGTGCTTGGCTGAGAAGATGGGCAGAAAGCAGCAGGGGATTAACAGAACGGAGGGATCATGGAGAGGAAGGAACAACGGAAGAGTGGATCCAGAAATATGGACTAAGGAGAGAGTGAATTTTAGGGTTTAAAGGAACGATGGATCTTATCATGGAAAAGCAAAACTATTTGAGTGAATCTCAGCCAAGTATAGAATATTTGTAGAATGTAGAATATTGTAAAAAAAAAATGTTACACCGCAAAGGAACCAAATTAATTAATTAACTGTAGACATTTTTACTCAAAACAATATAGAGTATATATTTATTAGTACAGGTATGTATGTTAAATTCAAACTTATGACTAGCTTCTGTAGTTTGTGAAAAATCCAAGAATTTGTTAGTTTTTTACACAATATATTTGTATTTATTTGTATTACAAAAATAAAGCCCTTTTTGAGTACCATAATAGATAACATATAATATATTTTTTGCACTGTGATAATTTTTATGACAACTAAATGCATTTCTTCCAATATTCATTAAAATGCATAATACAATAACGAAAATTATCTTGTTTTTTCCAGATTTTTCTACTAGGAATAATGCACAGATTTATTTGCTATAAATTCATTTTGACATTTGCATTACTTAATCAGCTGTCTTTTCTGATGTAGTAAACTTGCTCAGTAGCTGAACAGTTCAACATTGCACTTGTGTGAAACGTGCTACAAGCATCGGAATATCATTTTAGTTTTTTCATTACACTAGGCTGTTTATTAACCCATAAAATTGCAAAACGATGATATTGCTTATAGCACCTCTTGTGGGCGTGTAACCTGAAAATTGCAGCAAAATTTACAGAGGGCAACATATTTCTGGATTCGCTAAAGTAGTCAAGTATTTACAATGAGAATGAGTTGCTACTGACATTTGGGGAGGTGGGGTTTAAATGTACTTAACGGTCATGAAAATATTGTCACAATGCAACAAATCGCAAAGGTCATAACACTTTCCCAACAGCTTTTGTGAGATTCGCCCACTGAGATTTAGATAAAAAGCAGCAGAGACACGAAAATAAATGAGGTCAAGTAAAGAACAACAAGAACAGAGGAGAAAGAGAGAATCATTTACATATATGAGAATGCTTTCGTTGAGTGTTTTGGTTGCCGGTGGCTCTGTGAGCTCTGATTGCTGTTAATTATTTCAGACTCATTTAAATGGGCTGATCTACAGCACTGATGAGGCCACAGCCGATGCCAGAAGGGATTCTGAAGCTGGGGGAAACTTAGCCTTTCTCTGGCCACAGGGAATCATCTCACACAATTCACTGTCTACTGCTTTTGATCACTTACATATCAACATTTAGGTTGTCACTTTTTTCAGTGTATTCAAGGTGTTCTCTGCGAACTGAACCATGACCTTGGTCATTTCACCATTCGATTCCCATGCGTTTTTCTATTCTCTTCTTGCATCTTTGTACTCAAAATCAGTCTCTGGGTCTTCTCTCTGGATCTGTGTTTTTGAATTATTGAGCTGGTGCAGCAGCAGCTCTCAGCACCACAGGGAAGGAACGGATGAGTCCAGAGGTCTTGTGGGAGAAATAAGGGGCAATGAGAGTTCGGGCCAGAGGAAACTTATCTTTAATCATTTCAGATACTCTCTCTCTCTCTCTCTCTCTCTCTCTCTCTCCGGCCTGATCATGCCATTTCTCTTCTAAATGGAGGCAGCTGTCCTTGAATAATCCCATGTACTCATTTGCTTTGTGTTTATCTGTCTGTTCGGTTCATCTCATTCAGGATCTGAATTCTGTAGGTCCATGAAAGAGGTTTTACTGGCATTTAGCATGAAAGTCTTTATGACTTTATGATGACTTGATTTGAGGTCGTAACTAGGGTTGAGGTCACTGGAAGAAAAACAACAGCAGCAACATGGCTTAAAGAAAAGTTTGGACACAATAAATGGAGCAAAATTTTTCATTGAACAAATAGTTTGCAGCACTAATTTCTTCCCAACATCCATTTTCAAATAAACAAATCCTGTTTCATGTGTTGTTTCACGTTATTCACAGCTTGTGACTAGTCACGATTCACGTAACGTTATTTACTTCAGAAAAATCAACAATAGGGCCTAAGTTAACAGAGTTGGAGGTTACCCGGGGCTGACTCGCTACGCCACTGCTTGAAATACATGCACATATGTCATATTGAGTGCTATGCATCAGTGTTTTGCCTGACCCTGATGTTCAAGTCAAGTCACCTTTATTTATATAGCGCTTTTAATAACCCAGATTGTGTCAAAGCAACTGAACAGCATTAATTAGGAAAATAGTGTGTCAATAATGCAAAATGACAATAGTAAACACTTATTTTTCAGTTAAAGGCAGTTCATCATTGAATTCAGTGATGTCATCATCCAGCTCAGTCACTAAAAGAACGTTCTGCTAAACATCTCGTTTTGTGTTCAACAGAAAAAGAAAGTAATACAATTTTGGAACCAGTGTTATTTTAGTGTTATTTATTAAGTATTATGATATTTATTAATATTTATTTATTTTGGTTTGGTTTTATGAATTTTAGTACTTCAACTAATTTTCAGTTAGTGCCAAAGCAACATATATATATATATATATATATATATATATATATATATATGTTTTTC